GGTTCGGATCCCGGGCGCATACCGCCGCGCTGCTTGTCAAGCCATGCTGTGGCGGCGTCCCATATAAAGTGGAGGAAGATGGGCATGGATGTTAGCCCAGGGCCAGTCTTCCTCAGCAAAAAAAGAGGAGGATTGGCACATGTTAGCTCAGGGCCGATCTTCCACACACACACACACATCTCCCAAGAGACCACATGGATAACTGAAGCGTGCAGCGTGCTTTTTGAGGAAGGGGGAAAGGAATTTGAGGGGTTTTTTAGTCTCCCGAAAAGAAGAGACTTAAGGGAAGACTTCTCCAACAGGGTCTTTCCATCTGAAAAGTATGGAAACTCGTTCTTACCTGTCCCAAGGTACAAACCGAAGGAAGCGGGCTTGCTTTGCTGCTGGGGGATTTAGGTCACTCCTGGAAGGCTTCGCTTTGAGGAAGAGACCGCTGAGAATAAGTGGGTGTGGAGGTGGGGTTGTGGGAGGTGAACGCAGAGGGCAGCGGCTGTCTGATAAAGACGGCAATCGTAGCTGTCACTTCTCACGCACCCAGGTCTGCCTCGTGCTCTGCCGCCGAACTGCGTGATCCACTCTGACCTGCATGAGTATTTATGGGGCACATCCGGTGCTCCAGGCACTGTGCTAGACCCCCGGGCTACGCTGTGTATATCTCCACAGTGCCCTGGGTGGGGTTGGGTGGGGTTGGGTGGGTTCTCAGGCGAGTCAGAAATAAATAAGGCATGTAAAGTATCATTACCAACAGTGATAAGTACTTTGAAGGCCAAGTTCGGGGTGCCATGAGAATGTAAAACAGACACAGGCACATCTTGTAGGATCTGGAGTCTTAAGGGAAGGCTCACCCCTTCATATTGGATTTTCTTATTTCCATTTTACTAAGGAGGAAATGGATTCAGAGAGGTTAAGTCACTTGCTCAGGATTGCACAGCAATTAATTGGGCAGAGTTAGAATTCAAATGTACCAGGTCTGTCTGACCCCAAGTACTTTTCTTTCAGCCACCTGGCTCTCTAGGATCATCCTGGGCTATATGACAACTTAATGGATGGTCACCCTGTATTATTTAATCTTCATGGGCACCTGTGAGATATAGGTTATTATACTGATTATGTGGAGGAGAAGACAGAGGCTCAGAGTTAATTAACTTGCCTAAGGCCACCCAAGTCAGCTGGTGGCAGGGCAGGAATTTGAACCCAGGTTGGTGGACTCAAAAGCCTGTGTTTTCCAAACTCTGTTCCATTGACCCTCCCCTTCCCCTCCCAGGTATCCTCATTTTACAGACAAAGGCTGCAAAGGGGAAGCCACCTGTGCAGGGACCTTCAGCTGCCGAGTGACAGGGGCAGGGACTGCATGTCGACTGCGTAGCCTCCATCTCGTTCTCCTTTCTCTCCTCGTTCAGTTGTTCACATGTGGCTTTTGCGCTGCACCCTGGGTAAAGAGAGCTGGGATGGTTAGGGTCGGGACCCGGCACTGAAGCTCTTCAGAGAGACTTCCTCTCTGTGGGCCTCGAGACTGTGGAAAGGCAGGGAGAGGAGCTGCTCTTCTCCAGCGGGCCTGGGCTCAGGGCAGGCCAGAGGGAGGAAAAGAGGTGCCCAAGGACCCTCTCCCAAGGGTGAGACCCAGGCGGGAGACCATCCGGCCTGCGCTTTTGCTTCTCTCTCAACAAACGGGTCTAGCAGGGACCAAGCGAGAGCCAGTGCCCAGTGCCCGGAGCTGTGGGAGTGGAAGGGCCCTTGTCTGGGCAGCGGGTCTGGCAGGGTTATCTCGTGGGCACCACGCCCTAGTGAACAGACTGACACCTCCAAGCCAGCTTGGCTGGTCACCAGGAGCTATTTTCTTTGTTTCCAGGCGCTGTGCCAGAGGCTAGGAGGAGCCATGGGCAGCCCCAGGCGGCAGGCTCCCCAATATAAAGATAATCCCCAGTGCCCAGCTGGAGGTACTCTGGGGGTAAAGTGTGGGTAGAAAAGGCCATCGAAGCTTACAGGGAGGAGATGTCCTCGTGCAGGGCCGTCCAACAGAAATAGAATGCGAGCCACACGTGTAATTTAACATTCTCTGGTACTTAGGTTAAGAAGTGTAAAAAGTGGGCCAGGCTGGTGGCGTAGTGGTTAAGTTTGTGCGCTCTGCTTCAGCAGCCTGGGGTTCACAGGCCCGGATCCCAGGGCAGACCAACACACTGCTCATCAGCCATGCTGTGGCGGTGATCCACGTACAAAATAGAGGAAGATTGGCACAGATGTTAGCTCAGGGCCAATCTTCCTCACCAAAAAAAAAAAAGTGTAAAAAGAAACAGGTGAAATTAATTTTAACAATGTATTTTATTTAACCCAACATATCTAAAATATTATAATTTCCTCAATAACCAATTTTTTTGCGTGTACATCATATTTCGATTTCTATGTAGATTACATCATGTTCGCCACCCCAGGACTAATTACAATCCATCGCCACACACGTGCCTAATCACCCCTTTCAGCCTCCTACCCCCGCCCCCCCTCCCCCCAGTAACCAATTATTAATGAGCTGTCTGACATTCAGTTCTTCGTACCACGCCTTCGAAGCCCGGGTGTGTTGCACACCGGGCACAGCTCCACTGGGACTGGCCCTGTTACAAGCAGCCACGTGTGGCGAGCAGGGCCGGCCTAGCGTTAAGCAGGACAGAGGATCACCCCCAGCCTCACCTCGGGCGCGGGCGGTCAGCCTCCCGCACGGCGGATACAGCCCCCGGGCCCGGCCTCGAGGCCGGCGCCCCGCTGCCAGCGCGGGCTCTCGGGCGGCCGTGGCAAGGAAGGCTTTGAGACGGGGCCCGCAGCGGAGGAGGAAAACGCCTCGGGCCCGCGTCCGCGGCGAGGAGGCACGCGGTGGCCCGCCCGGCGGCGCGGGGGGCGTGCGACGCGGTGGCGGCCGCGGGATCAGGAGCCCACAGGCCGCATTGTCCGCCTGTCACACTTCCTTTGGCTTTATTGCCTTTGTCCAACACCCTATTGTCTGGTTTCCTTTTGTTCCCCTTTCAGCGCTGCTGCCTTTTATTTTCCAGCCAGCCTGGTTGTTTTCATTTCTTTTGTCTGAAGTTCCTGAGAGGAAGGTTTTATTTTCAGCGGTTTGATTAATTCACAGCTTGAGCCCGGGGTTTGTTTGTTATGTAATTGCTGCCCTCAGCTTCAGGATAATACCCCTCCCCGCGCCCCTCCCCCGCCCGCCCCCCTGCCCGGCGGGGCCCCGCGCCCCGCCCTGTGCCCGGATGGGCTGAGCCGCCCGCTTCCTGGACGCCCTCCAGGACCCCGGGTGGTGGGAGGGGTCCCGGCGAGCTGGGCCGGGTCGCCTCTTTCCCCTGGGCTCTCCTCGCCCTGCAGTGCCTGTCCTGGGCCCCACGCCGGCCCCAGGGCACTTGCCCTTTCAGAGTGGCAGGAGCGTGGAGTCTGGTCTGCTGTAGGGAGGAATCAAATCAGAACCGTCTGATTCGGCTACAAGGCTCTCTCCGGGATGACTGTGCAGACATGTCCAGGGACCCTATTGTGTATGGCACACACAAACATTATATTGCACCTGCAATTTAATTTAAGGGATGTTTTGTTGTATCTGATTTTTGCCTTACACCCCTCTCCTAAAAATTTAGTGCCCATGCAAAAAACAAATTTTTTAAAAATTTTACTTAACAATGCCTTTCAAACTAGTGTGTATCAGAATCACCTGCAGGCCTTGTTAGACCAGATCCTTGGCCCCACCCACAGAGATTCTGATTTGTGGAGGACCCAGGCCTTCACCCCTTAAACAAGCTCCCAGGCCTTGGTGAGGCTATGGTCCTCGTGCTGCATCACACCTAGTGGTGGCTGAACCAGTGCCACAGCGGTGCTTACTACTGCCCTGCAGGGTTCTAAACACCGTGTGGAGACCATTTCTCAGCCTTCGAGACGGCCCATTTTACAGATGGGAAAACTGAGGTGTGGAGAGGTTGAGTAACTTGCCCAGGGTCACTAGGCAGCTGTTGAGTAGCCGAGGCAGGAACCATGCACACTTGGAACCTGCTGTGTGTCCCCATGGTCTTGTCTCAGTGACTTTGGAGGGGGAGCAGGTGAGCTATGGGCATGTGTTGGCCTGGCCCTGAGCCTGGCGTGGCCCCTGGAATGCTCCCCTGGCTCCTGGGCCTGCGCAGCTCCTCGAGATGGGCCAGGCAGTGGTGCGGCAGGTGGGGAGGTGGCGACGGGAGCAGTGGATGCAGAGTGTCTGCTTACACCAGGGACTGCAGATGCCTACAGGGCCAGATTCTAAACCAGAGACTAGCTGGATATGAGAGGATATCTTTTTTAAAGCCACTCATCTCTCAACTTGTTACTTATTTTCCCACTTTTGGTAGATGTAAGATGGATACAAGAATACATGGATAGAAGAAATAGTTCACTTTTATCTTGTCTTTACTATAAGAAAGATAAAGAATAAATGTGTTATATAGGGTACTTGGTTTCCCTTTTGGGGAGTAGTAGGGAGTGGAGGAGAGTAAGGCAGACTGGCCTGTCCATAAGGAGTAACTGCAACTCAGTTCCAGCCAATGGATTCCACAGACCAACTTCAAGAGAAGTCCAAATCCAGATTTTTATGTGATACCTCTTGATTTTTAAATTTTGGTAACTAATTACAAATATGTACATAAACAAACATACACGGACACATACATGTATATATAATCTTGGCTTTATTGGGCTCAGAAACAGCCAGTTAACAATCTCTGGCCTCCTTAGGTGAGTCCATCAACTCACTAGTCCCAACCCTGCGACAGGCAGGAGTGCCAAAGGTTGGGCCCAGTCTTCTCTGGACTTTCCTATTTAAGAAAAAAAAAAAAACTGAGGGACAGGAGAATCATTTCTAATTCTTCACAGTGAGTTCTAAATGGAAGCTTCCATTTTGCACAAATATGCCTTTTTGGGGCTGGGGGCATGGATGGTGGAGTCGCTGCCTCTGGGGCTCAGGGCTGGCCTCGCTCACTAGGCCCCTCTCCCCTCAGGATGTCCATGCGGAGCCCTGGCCCTGCCCAGCTGGCCCCGGATGGCGTTGGCACCATGGTGAACTGCACCGTCAAGTCAGAGGGGAGGAAGGAGCCCTGCCACGAGGCCTCTCAGGGCTTGGCCACCACCGCTGAACCCCAGCCCGGAGACCCAGCCCGGGCCCCCCAGGATGGTGCTGACCCCCAAGCTCCAGCCCAGGTGCCCAACACTTTCCCCGGGGCTCCTGGGTCAGTGTCCCCACCCGGCCTCTGTGACCCACACCCATGTGACATCCCCGGCCTGTGCACTAGGCCGGGCCAGCACCCACCCCCAAGCTGGGCAGAGGGGCAGGAGAGACGTGCATCTCTGGGACAAGACTTAGGTGAGTGGGGAGGGGCTGCCAAGTTCAGTCTGGCACTGGGAGCCAGGCCAGCTGTCGGAGCAGAACCTGGACTCACTCAGCTGACAGTAACTGCTCAGCCCTGTGTGTCCCACTCCTTACCCCGAGGATTAGCTGGAGACACAAGAGAGACAGGCTCAAATTTTGGCATGAAGGTAAATACCAGCTTGTTCATTTACTTTAAGAAAATCAGCCTTATTACCAAAGCCAGAGTTAAATCGCTGTTAAAGGCAAAACAGTTCCTCATCCTTAAAATGAGGGAGCTGAGCTACTTGAGCAGTAAGGGTTCTTGCAGCTCTTAAAAGCTCTGTGATTCCATGCAAGAGATGTAAAAAGGGACTGTGTAATTAAAAGCCAGATGAGTGAAAATGAGAGGAGTTTTAGGGCTCTGAGAAGGGATACATCCTGGAGGAGTGTGTAGGAAAAGGTTAGGGGGCTGAGTGGTGATCAAGTAAGACTTCCTGGAGGAGTAGGGCCTAAGCTGGGTCTTAAAGAATGGAGAGGACTCAGCTGAGAAGAGGAGAGGGGATGGTGTCTTAAGGAGGGGTGTGGTGGGGGCCCTGGGAGTAACCGCCCAGCTAGAGCGGGGGGTGTACGCAGAGGAGTAATAATTAATCGCTGGCTTTTGGCCCCAGAATCTGTGGTGGCAAACCTCATTCACATTAACTCCCTTGATCCCAGCAACAATCCTATGACGGGGAGGAGGGAGGTATTAGGATGCCCATTTTCAGAAGAGGGAGTCAGGTTCAGAGAAGTCTAGGGACTCACGTGGATCCAGCACCTTGTGAGTCAGTGCGCCTGGACTGAAGCCCAGCTCTCTCGTCTTCAAACCTTTGCTTCTTTCCACTGTGTCAAGCGAAGGTAGGGAAGGGGGAGGGAGGGCCCTGCTGGGGGCTGGGTGAACTCGGAGATGCCCTCAGGAGCACAGCTCTGGGTGCTCAGCGCCCCCTGCAGCCTACCCCCCTTCTCTGGGGGGTGATAGTGACATTCAGCATGTCTTGTAGGACTGCAGCTCCCCGGAGAGCAATGGGTCCCCAGAACCCAAGAGGCCAGGAGGCTCCGAGGCTGCTTCTGGAAGGCAGGAGAAGCTGGACTTCAACCGAAATTTAAAGGAAGGTAGGATGTCTGCCCTAGTTAGAGGCGGGGCCCGGCGGGAGGCGTGAGGACGGCTGCTCCTCATCCCTGCTCCTCTTCCAGTCGTGCCGGCCATCGAGAAGCTGCTGTCCAGTGACTGGAAGGAGAAGTTTCTGGGAAGGAGCTCTGTGGAAACCAAAGATGTCAAAGGTGCAGGCCTGTGGGGTGGGCAGGGCAGGATGTGTGAACCCTTCTCCTTTTCTGGCCCGGCCACACAGTCTGGGCCTGTGGGGCAGTTCTGGGGGCTCTTGGTGCCCTCACACCTGGCCTGTGCCACACTGGCTCCTGCCTGGCCCTAGGGGTCCGCACCCTCCCTCACTGGGGCACACATTAGGTCTGGCTCCTTCCCCTGCAGGAGAGGCCTAGTGGGAATCAGATCCTGTGGGTGTGGGTGTGAGCTTGGGCTCTTATCAGGGACGCTTGTGACCTGGGGCATCACTGGCACTTCCCAGGTCTAAGGACGAAGGGAGCAGAATGCTCCTCTCACTGCCGAGAATTAATGCTGGGCCCCTGGGACCTCACTCGGTGAATGAGGGGTGGTGAGGGCTCCTGCTTGGGTCCTTTAGAGTGGTCATCTTCCCAGTGTGGTTGCCCACACCACAGAGGGGACTTTAAAACAATGCAGATGCCCAGGCCCCACCCCCACCTACTGAATGAGAACCCCAGAGGACTGCACATAGCAAAGTGATTAAGAACACATTTAATAAAGATGTTTCTAACAAGCTACTTGCACGATACGTTCAACACAGTGTTACTTCAGGGAATGGAAATGATACCCATTCTTTAATGCATGTAGTGAAGTGTTTAAAAACACTACCTATAAAGATGGGGGCCTGGGCATCTGTGTTTTTCAAAGGCTCCCTGAGTGGTTCTGATGCAATGGTCTGTGGCCTGGCACATAGAAGTTAACCCCTGCATCCGCCGTCGGCCGTGCTGGAGGGCAGGGAAGCACTGACACTTGCTGGTTGAGGACCACGTGCCAGATCTGGACTAAGCTCACGTTCATTCTCTCGAACCCTCACAGCAACCCTGTGAAGTGACGATTATCGTGCTCATTTAGAGATTAAAAAACTAAAGTACAGAGAAGTTGGTAACTTGCCCACCAGCTCCCAGGTGGGGTGGGCTGAAAGGGGAATTTGAACCCAGATCTGTCTTGCTCCAAAGCCTGAGCATGTCCCGCTAGGCCCTTCCTGTGGGATGGCCGTCCACCCTGACCCTGTGGCACTGGGCATGCAAGGACGTCCAAGAGGGGGGGCTGGGGCTGAGAGGCCCCCACCCTCAGCATGCCCAGGGGCTGGAATTGGTGGCTAATGGTGGGGAACCTCCAGGGCCCAGCTGTCGGAGAGCAAGGTGAGGAGCCCCCTGCAGGGCAAGGCTCGAGTCCCAGTCATCTGTCGCTCCGCCCCTAACGGGCCGGGGCACAGCAGTTGGATGGATGGAAAGATGAACAAGTTCTCAATGGTGCTGTTTCACTGTGGAGCAGGGACCCAAGAGAGCCTGGCAGAGAAGGAACTGCAGCTTCTGGTCATGATCCACCAACTGTCCACCCTGCGGGACCAGCTCCTGACAGCCCACTCAGAGCAGAAGAACATGGCCGCCATGCTCTTCGAGAAGCAGCAGCAGCAGATGGAGCTGGCCCGGCAGCAGCAGGAGCAGGTGGGCCTGGCCTGGCAGCTGGCGTTCCCTGCAGGGCAGGGGTCCGTCAGGGCTTGGAGAGGGGCGCCTTGGGAACAGGCTGAGCCTGGGGCTGATGTGGGAGGGGCTGTGGGATTCCCACCACTGGCTCTTCATAAGTCCTTGCAGGGGGACGGGGTGGAGGGGTGCTGAGGGGCTCTGAGAAGGAGCAGCTGGCTGCTTCCTACCGAACCACTATCCCTGGCCTCTGAGGGAAGGGTGAGCTCCCCGCAAAAAGAGAGTAAATTCTGAGGGTTGGCTGTTCTGCTGCGTGCCCCACTCAGCTCTCCTGCCGGGTTGCCCTACCGTGGAAGGCAGGGTGTGGTTGGGGCTGTGAAGGCTCTGTGGGAGGTGGGAGTCCCAGAGCCTAATGCCCGTGGCCCCTTTGCCAACTCTTTCCCCCTGCCAGATCGCGAAGCAGCAGCAACAGCTAATTCAGCAGCAGCATAAGATCAACCTCCTGCAGCAGCAGATCCAGGTAAAGAGAGGGGAGGGCTGGGCGAAGGGAGAGCAGGAGGCTGAGGGGTTGCCACCGGCCTGGACAGGTGCTGGGGACAGGGAGGGACAGGGGATGTGGACTGAGCAGAATCACTCAGGTGTGACCCTCATTTCTGCTCCAGTCCCTACCCCTGTTGTCTTTCCCTGTTTCAAGGGAGGGGCCCGGAATATCCTCCTGCCCAGCTGGGGCTTGAGGGCAGGCAGACAGGGGCCTAGGGAGGTGGCGTAGGGGCAGATGGATCCTTTTCAAGACTGTCCCTGCCCCAGGCCCTGTGCCTCTCATCTCTGTGTCCAGGGCTGACCACAGCTGGGTAGCTGTTTGGGCCCCCAGGGACTCACACAGGGTTTCTCTGCCCTCAGCAGGTCAACATGCCTTATGTCATGATCCCGGCCTTCCCCTCAAGCCACCAACCTCTGCCTGTCACCCCCGACTCCCAGCTGGCTTTGCCCCTTCAGCCCATCCCCTGCAAACCAGGTGAGTGTGGCAGGGAGGTCCCACCGCTGAAGCTGTCCTGAAGGAGCCCCGCAACTGCTCTCACCCATTAAATTGCAGTGTGGCCTTTCTGGGCCTCAGTTTTGGATCTGTCCAGTGGAGGAATAATCCCTTCTTTCTGAACTTGACTGGGAGAATGAAAAGAAATAGCACACTGAAAGCCATGAAGTGCTTTCCAGATACAAGCGGAGGTAGCCAATCTAAGTCTAATCTCCCCAGCTCTGGTACATTTACTGTACCAGAATATTAATAGAGCTTTATACATCTCCCAAGGTGACACTGTTGTTCTCGCCCTGACCGTGTCACTCCTGCCATCTGCCCCATCACTGAAATTCAGTGGACACAGACTGAGTACCAGCCACTCGTCAGAGCGGTCATGGGGGTGATAAAATGTGGACTTTGAGCTCAAGAAATTTACAGTGTGGGGTGGGAGAAAGAAGGATACCAGAGACCGAGGAATCTGGGAAGGCTTCTTGAGGAGGTGGCGTTTGATTGGGGCCTGGGAGAGTGGCCTTGTGAGGGTGAAGCTGGGCGCTGCCGGTGGAAGGCACGGGAAAGGGCTCCAGGCAGAGGACCTGCAGCCCGAGGCAGGGAGCTGCAAGGGGGCGCTGGAGTGCGGGGTGTGCGCGACAGGGTGGTGGGCCGTGGCTGGGGGGCAGTTGGGACTGGGCGTGGAGTTGGGGATTTATTTTGTAGAATGTGGGACACTTTGAATGTTTCAATGGAGGATGTGTCGTCACACTGGCGTGGGTGATGGGATGGAGAGGGGCCAACCAGAGGCAGGCCCAGGTGGGGCTGCTGAGCTGCTTCTAGTGACAGGGGTGACGGCCTGCACTAGGCCAGTGATGGGACAGAGGCAGAGATGGAATTACTAGGCCATGGTCATGGATTCCTTGTGAGAGGGCAGAGCAGGGCAGACATGCTCCCCATAATTGCCCCAGGAGGGGGAACAGCTTTTAAATCAAACTCCTCGGGTCCACTCTCCCTGTTCCACGCACAAGAAGGCAGGGGAGATCCCCCGGCTGAGTTCTTGTGTCCACTGAGGCCCGTGGACACAGTTCATGGGTCAGCCCCACTGACTCTAGGGGGAAGGGGAAACGCAAAAGAAGTTTCCAGGTGGGGGGGCATGACACGGGACTAGACTGAGAGACTGGGAATGGGGGAGAGGGGGAGGGCTGAAGGGGGAGGACAGGGTACCAGCACCAAACCATTGCAACTCCAGGTGACCCTAGAACAGAGCTACAGTGGTGAGGAGGGCAGGGCCGGGGGTGGCAACAGAATGCTAGTGTGTGTGTGGGGGGGTGGGCCGCGTGCAGCCTCCCCCTTCCCAAAGCTGAGTGAACAGCGCCTCCCCCAGCTCACAAGCCTTAGATGGTCTACAGCACGGAGTCCTGACTCCTGAGCTCGGCCTTCTCAGGCCTCGGAGCCCACCTGGCCCCTATGTGCCCACCTGGCCGCGCTCCCAGACACCCCGCTGCTTCATCTCCCCGTCCACCTGCAGGCACTAGCTCACGTCTCACCTCCCCCGGGAAGCCTGCTCCAGTCACCCCAGCTGGAACAGAGTTCTCTGGCATGCCACCCACTCAGCCCGCATCACCACAGCCACGGGGTTAGGGATTTGCATCTGTGGCTTATCTCTCCACTTGCACTGTCAACTCCTCAGTGCTGGCCTGGTCGAGGGAGAGTGAGGTCAAGGGCGGCTAGGTAGAATAGAGAGAAGGCCGTGTAGAGGGGAGAGGATGGGCTGTGGAGTCTAGAGGACCTGGGTTCAAATTTCAGTGCTCCCATTTATTAACTGTGTGGGCAACCCATTTAACACCTCCAGGTCTCAGTTTCTTTATCTGTAAAATGGGTTGATGTATTGATTACCTATTATATGCCACACACAAGGGATTCTTTTGAGATAATGCACATCAGACGGGCTACACAACAGACAGCTGCTTTTGTACCCTGCACAGAGTAGGTACAAAGTATAAGTCTCTGTAGACTGAGTAGTGCACTTGCTCTTATCTCCCCGTTGGCTGGAACTCCAGGGTCTGGGGATTGGATTGGCAGGAGTGTGCAGGGCAGTGTGCAGGGCAGTGGAGGTGAGGGTGCAGGAGGCCCTCTGCAGTGCTCTGGGGCTGGGGAAGGCAGTGGTGGAAGCAAGCTGGGCCAGCTCGGAGCCTCTGTCCATTTGGTGCTGCTGGGCCCTCGTCAAGCAAGGTGTCTGCTGTTCTGTGCTCATCCAGGACTTTTCTCCTTGCCGCCTTTTCCATAGTGGAGTATCCGCTGCAGCTGCTGCACAGCGCCCCCGCCCCGGTGGTGAAGAGGCCTGGGGCCATGGCTGCTCACCACCCCCTGCAGGTACTGCCCACCCATTGGCCTGGGGCTCCCTCCCTCACATGTGAGGGCTGGCTGCCCACCCAGGGGGCTGTGGGGTCCTTTGTTCTTGTTCACCTGCTCCTTCTGTCTCTTCTTTTCCTGTCTCCTTGTCTGTTCTGGGTGTTCTTGTCTGTGACCATATGTCCCTTCTGTCCCTCTGCGAGGGTCTCTTGGGCGTCTCTCACCCTCTGATCTCTGGGTCTCGCTCAGGAGCCCTCCCAGCCCCTGAACCTCACAGCCAAGCCCAAGGCCCCGGAGCTGCCCAACACCTCCAGCTCCCCCAGCCTGAAAATGAGCAACTGTGGGCCCCGCCCCCCCAGCCACGGGGCCCCCACCCGAGATCTGCAGTCCAGCCCCCCCGGCCTGCCTCTGGGTAAGTTTTCTACGTCCCGAACCTTTTCCATCAGCCGTCTTCTCTGGGGGCCAATGAGAGGACATTGTGCGCGTCCCTCCCCTCTGGGGGTACAGTCTAACAAGGGTTTGGACTTGCTCTCTTCGGCCCCTTCCAGTTTCAGCATTCAGCCACAGAAGATCCCGTTCCTCCTCTCCCCGCTGTGTCTGTCTGGGCTCCCTAGCCGCAGGGATTCAGGCCACTGGATTGCACAATTTCAGAGGACACTATTCTCATTTCTAGTCTGTCGGCACTGCATCACAGCTGATGTCAGCGGCGCCCCCTTGGGGATGTGCAGTGCAACAGCCCTGGGAGGGGCAAGAGGGAGCATCAACCCAAGTAACTCACGGGAGTGGAGCTGGGCATGACCCCCGCCCTCCCCTTCTCTTCCTCCTCCCTCTCCACAGGCTTCCTTGGCGAAGGGGATGCTGTCACCAAAGCCATCCAGGATGCTCGGCAGCTGCTGCATGGCCACAGTGGGGCCTTAGAGAGCTCCCCTAGCACCCCTTTCCGCAAGGTACGGGCCCCCCACTCTGCTGCACCTGGGAGCAGGGAACAGATAGTGGCCAGAGGTGGAAGACACAGTCTGAGGCCACCACCGGGAAGGGTAGAGGAGGGCAGTGGGGTGACACAGAAGGGGCCGGTGTGCAGGTTCCCCCTGTTAACTCCAGGACCTCATCAACCTGGACACGTCCCCAGCCAAGGAGCGGCTGGAGGAGAGCTGTGTGCACCCCCTGGAAGAAACCATGCTGAGCTGCGACGTGGATGGTGAGGGCTCCGGGTACTGGGCTGAGGGGCAGGAGGGCCCACTTTCGCTTCCCCCAGGGCCAGGGTGGTCCGGTCCTGTCTCTCTCCGACCCCTTCTCTCCCTTTGTGTGTTGAGTCCCCTTATGTGTCTGTACCCTGTCTGTCCTGGGTCCCTGGCTGGGCTTCTGCTGGTATCTTGCTGCTGGCCCCGTGGGAGCCTCCCAGCGCCCCCTAGTGGTCAAGCAGGGGACGTTTCTTTCTGCTGGCCCTGGAGGACTCTCCTTACCACCCCTGCACGCAGGCTCCCGCCACTTCCCTGAGTCCCGGAACAGCAGCCACATCAAGAGGCCCATGAACGCCTTCATGGTGTGGGCCAAGGACGAGCGGAGGAAGATCCTCCAAGCCTTCCCAGACATGCACAACTCCAGCATCAGCAAGATCCTCGGTGAGGGCCATTGCAGGGGGGGGCTGGGGGCTCTAGGGGCTCCCAGAGCCATAGTCCCGCAGGACCTGGTTGCAGGGGCCAGCTGGGTCCGCTCGGGCCTTGCTGGGTGATGGTCCACACCATGCTGAACTCCAGTGGAATCTGGTGGGGTGTGGGAGTCAGGCAGGATGTGGGGCAGCTGGGCCTGGGTCTTGTACCATTGCAGGGCTCTTCTGCTGGCACCTGCGCCCCAGAATTTGAGGAGAGAGCGAGAGAGTGTGTGTGTGTGTGTGTGTGTGTGTGTGTGTGCGTGCACGTGCAAACATATGCATTCTTTAACCCCCACCCCCACCCCAATCTCTCCCTAACCTGTTCCGCTGTTGCCCAGACCCTTGGAGCTGGCTCCAGCAGGAAACAGGAGAGACTGGTGTTCTTGGGCCATCAGTAGAAAGGTTTCTTAAATTACACGTCTTGATTGGAGGCCAAGGCGAGCTGTAGGCAGGGCAGGTGGGGTAGCAGAGGGCAGCTGTCTCCAGGACGAGGCTCCTCCAGAGTCCTGTGGGCCCCTTGTCAACTGAGACGCCAGGGCTTTGTCCTGAGCAGGGAGCCTGCACAACACGCTGGGGGCCTGGGGTGGCTGCTCTTTTGTTTATGCAAATAATGCAGCCCAGAGACCTCCCAGGAGTTGCTGGGTAGTTTGGGATGTGACTGGGTGCTGTGTCTTCAGCTGTCAACTGAATACCCATATCCATGCTACCTTCATTCATCTGTTCAACATCCAAGGAGCACCCACAGTGGGCCAAGGCCTGCAGGGGGCGGGGGGTGGTTGGCAGGGCCCAGCACTGACCGCCTGCCCCCGGGGGCTGGGCCAGGCTCCCGCTGGAAGTCCATGACCAACCAGGAGAAGCAGCCCTACTACGAGGAGCAGGCACGGCTGAGCCGGCAGCACCTGGAGAAGTACCCCGACTACAAGTACAAGCCGCGGCCCAAGCGCACCTGCATCGTGGAGGGCAAGAGGCTGCGGGTGGGCGAGTACAAGGCCTTGATGCGGACCCGGCGCCAGGACGCCCGCCACAGCTACACGACCCCGTGAGCAGGCCCGCCCCAAGCAGCTGAGCCTGTGTGCGCGCGAGAGTGCACATGCATGTGCGTGTGCAGCTCTTGTGAGTGGCTGGGTGTTAGCGTGTGGCCTGTGTGTGAGTGTGTATGTGCACAGGTGTGTGTGGGCATTATCTGTGTGTGGCGGGGCCTGCATGCATGACTGCAGGGGCGCCTATGACTGTGCTGAGTACCTGGTGGCTCAGGATGCAGATTTGTGACTGAGAGACTGTGAGGGACTGGCGTGTACCTGGAGAAACGTGCCTGTGGGTTGCATTTCTGACAAATTCAACAAAAATTCAGGGTACTAAAAATCCAGGTACTTACCATCCAGCGGATTGCTGATTGAGCAAAGCAAGCACCTGGGGGGCTTCCTTTAAACAGGAAACTCCCTGGGCATTTAAAATAGACAATTTCCAAAACCTGGATTCACACACGATCCTCCAGGAGTAGCTGTTGAACACACCATGGCCCTGGGCCTGCACGTGTGTGGGGAATTGTAGCCGACAGGGAATTTGCATCAGAAAGCAGGGAATTTGCATCAGAAAGCAGACGGGGGCAGAGTGTGTGTCTGGGAGCGAAAAGGGTGTGAGTGGGAGGGCACACCCTGAGGGTCCTGGAGGGGCTGGGTTGGGGCGGAAGTGAGGGTGCCTCTGTAACCGTGCCTCTTCTCTGCCCCGCAGCCCGCAGGCCAGCCAGGTGCACATGAGCTCCTCAGATGTCCTGTACCCTCGTGTGGCGGGCATGCCCCTGGCACAGCCCCTGGTGGAGCACTATGTGCCCCGGAGCCTGGACCCCAACATGCCTGTCATCATCAACACCTGCAGCCTCAGGGAGGAGGGCGAGGGCGCAGAGGACAGGCCCTCAGGGGCCGATGGGGAGGTGTACCGGTACAGCGAGGAGGAGGACTCGGAGGGCGAGGAGAAGAGCGACGGGGAGCTGGTGGTGCTTACAGACTGATCCCTGCCGGGGGCACCCGGCCCTCCTCCCTGGGGAAAGACCTGGCCCCAAGGTGATGGGCACAGCCACCCCACCTGGACTATGTTGGTACTTGGACTTGGGCCTACCCAGGACATGGGCACAGCTGTGCACTTGTGGATACTTTCCTGACGGAAGAGGTCCCTCCCCAGCACCCCTGTGCGCACACCTGAGGAGCTGAGACCTGTCTCCCTGGGGCCACATGCTTTGTTCCCATTCTTGTCCTGGCTGGACCAGCCACCGTGGGACCAACACCCCCCAACACACGACCCCCAGATCCCTCCTCTAGCACCAGGATCACTTTGTACTTTGTGCAAAAAGGTCTGGCTGTCCCTCGCTGTCTTGATCTTCTGCCAAGCCCACCGTGCCTCTGGCTGCTGTGTGTGCGTGTGTGTGTGTGTGTGTGTGTACACACGTGTGCATGTTTTTGTCTGTTCATTCCTTGCAGGAGATATTTATTGAGTGCCGCCGCGTGCAGGCACTGTTGCTGAGTTCCTGTGGGTGTGTCTTGATGCCACTCTTGCTTCTCTGGGGGCCTCTTTCTCTGCTTCTTTGTCCCCAAATTGCTACCTCTTAGTCTGGGTGTCTCAGGTTCTGTGCGTCCTTGAGTGCGTTTCTCTCTGGCCTTGTCTCTCTGCAGGGCCCTTTTTGTGTCTCTCTCCTTCCTCAGTGTGTGCCCTGCCCCCCTGACGCCTGCTGGTCACTCTACTCTGGGTCTCTGTAGGCCCTTGGTCTGCCCCTGGGCCCACAGCACCCTGACCTCTCCTACCCGCCCCTTCACTCCCTCCCTGACTCTGCCTGTCGGTTCCCATGGAGCCATTTTTAGTTCCGAGCAGCATGGGAACGTGCTCAGCCTCCAAGGGGCTCTGTCCCGGTGCCCCAGCCCCTGGTCCCACCCTGAGTGCCAAGAGTGGGGGCAGCAGGACCGATGGCCAGTGACAGAGCCCTGGAGAGCAGGGCTCCCATGGCCACTGGTCTCTATCCCTCCCTCCTGAGCAGGGGGTGGGAAGGCTCCCCATTCTTGGAAGGTGTTGGTGAGGGGAACTCAGGCTCCACTCTCCCCTCCTGCCCGCTCCCCTCCCCTCCCCAACTCTGCCCTGGGGAACTTGCCTCAGTTCCAGATCACTTTCACAAGTTATTTCCCTAAGAAGATCAAATCCCATTGGCACCCGACTCCAAAGATCCCGAACAGCCCTCGGGTCAGAGTGAGAAGGGAGCCCCAAACCCCACAGGGGCAGATGTGGAGCCTGTACCCGCCCCATCTTCCCTCCTTCCCTCCCCCTCCCCAGAGCCCAACTTCTCTCCAGGCGGTTTCTTTTTTATGACTGTAAACATAGATAGTGCTTTATTTTGTTAATAATAAGATAATGATGAGTAACTTAACCAGTACATTTCTCCTGTTTACACTCAGGGAATTTTTTGTTTTCTGTTGGCATAGTAGACAGACCATTTCAGAATCTGGCCCTAGTGTTGGGGAGAGGGGAGGCTGGCCCAAGTCCAGGATTCCTAAATGCCTCCCCAGCTCAGGCACCACTGCCCCCTGGTGGCAGTTCGAGGGAGCGTCAGGCGGGGCCTGGGAGGAAACATCTTGCGAAAGGAGGCCCAGGCCAGATGCCAACCCCAGAGCCCACACTCTGAATGAGGAAGACAGTGCCCTGCGTCGCAGAGGTGAGCCAGACCTCACCACAGAGTGCCCACTGGGTCCTAAGAAAGAGGGCTGTGGTAAGCGCTCTGTAACGAGTCAGAAGCCTGGGCTCCCCCCAGAACTAGCCACATGTCCTAGGGGGAGGTGTCACATCTCCCCTTTGACCTCACTGACCTCATCTGAAAACAAGGAGGTTAGCCTTATCCGTGGTTCTTACCCTCTTTTGGAGAGGGAGCCCTTTGGGAATCTAATGAAAGCTGTGAATCCTCATCCAGAAAAGGGCTCACATGGACACCCTGAGCCCATTTATGAGCCCCCAGGATACCGATTAATAAGCCGGGTCTCTAATGATGTGCTTCTGGGCTCTATCTGTGACCTTATGCTTTGAATGAGGATTTCAAAAACCTACATATCATACTAGGAAAAATTAGACCTGAAATGTCATACTGAAACTCCCAAAATGCATAGTAACAAGGATTGATAAAAAGACTAACCCTTGTGGCTAAAAACTTAATCCCATTAATATGGAATGAGGGCAGCAAAGCTGAATGGCAGTTCTTGTAAAAGAGTTAGAATTGGGTTGGATTAATAGAGGCTTGTTCACAACAAGGGAGGTGACGGGCCAGTGTACTCCACACAGGCCTGGTCCCAGGTGCATCATGCCAGTCCTAGCCCTTATTAGAAAAGGCCACTGTCACAATGGAGGGGCCCAGAGGCAGGCACCCTGCACAGAAAAGGACTGGAGGGACCCTAGTGGACATGTCCTTAGAGGAATGGTCAAAAGGGCTAGGGATGTTTAGTCCAGAAAAGAGACCAGGGTAGGGCAGGGAGGACAAGATCCTTTCTTCAAAGCTGTTAGGTGACCAACATATAGCTCTTCTAAGTAGAAGCTCTAGCTCGTGGGGTAGAACTTGGCCTCAATGCAAGTCTCCAGGGTCAATATTTTTGGCAACTTTTTGACAAAGATGTTTAAAAGTGGTAATGAACTTCCCAACACAGGAAGTATTCAAGCAGAGGCTCTTAAATGCTGGAAGAGAGATTTCTAAATCAGAGAGGGTGGTGGTGAGAAAAGGTAGGGGAGAGGTGAGAGAAGGTGGTGAGAGGGTGGTTGATTCCAGGGCCACAAACACGGGAGTGAAGACTCCCCAGGAATTAGGGTCCCAGCCTTTTGTCTAGGGAGCATCCTGGCTGCTGGCCTTTGCTGGTTTTTTCCCAGCCCAGCCTCCCAGAGCTTTGGGCCTCCTCTCCTTTGCCCTCCCCACCCAGGTCTCCGCAGGGGCAAGCAGCCGAGGCTGGCCGTGGAGGCCTCTTGAGGACAAGATGCCGGCCGTCCTTGGGAAGAGCAGCATGGCTGGCTGCAGCCCTGCCCTCTAGTGGTCACGTGGGAGATTGCTCATCTCAACTTCTGCTGCCCATCTCCCCCACCCTCCAGTCCCCACCACTGCCCTCTACTGTGTCCCAAACCAAATCCGGGAGTCTAGTCGGGACACTCCCAGAAAGACGCACCCTCACCACCTGCCAGTCCTGAGTTCCTCTCGCTTCCCTAGGCCCAGGTCCTCTGGCCTCAGGGGGGCCTGAGGCCAGTACTGCCCACCTCCCACTCCAGGAAGCCTTGTCCCACCCTCCTCACTCCAGCTGCCGAGACAGTCACGTGCCCTGCGTCCTCTTAGGATTGGGAAAGCCCTCCACGGGGACCTGGGGTTGGTGTCCTGGAGCCCCACTCCTGCCCCAGGAGAGGCAGGATGCGGTCAGGTGGGCTGTGAGCCCAGGAACAGTGTCCTGGTCATTACCAGGAAGGCTGGGGCACAAGCTGGGTCTCTGGCCTCCCCATGCCTCTCCTGTGGAGGCCGAGGGTCAGAGACCAGACCTCTGCCCAGGCCTGCTGTGCCCAGAGCTCCTTCTGAGGGTCTAGGAAGGGGCCTGGGGGAGTGGAGCCCAGGCCACCCTCGGGAGTCTCCAAGGCCTGGTGCTGAGCAGGGAGGGCCAGGGTGCTGGTTATTCTAGGGTGGCAGCCAGAGACACGGTGGGGCTGCAGGCTTTCTGGGGGAGGGGTGTGGCTAAACTACCCCCCTCCCCAGCACCCCTACCCCCACCTGCCCACTCCCCCGGAGAACTGGAGGAAGGAGGACGCTTTCTCAAAGAAGGCAGTGGGATGGTGCCTGCAGGTTAACTCCTGCGGTGCAGGTGGTGGCCAGGGGCCTCGGGCACAGGACAATACCTGGGGGGGTCCCTGTTCCAGCCATTCCCTGCTCACCACTGCAACGCAACACTGTCTCCAACGCTGTGACATCAAGGCCCCAGGAGGCTGGAAACGAAGCTGCCTTCCCAGTGGTGATTCCTGCTCTCAGCTCCAGAGGCGGATCTGAGAGGGACAAGGAGGATGAGCACTGCCATGTAGTCCATCCACAGGAAGGCCGCACCCATGACCACCTGACCCCACAGATGACCCCAGGGCCCGATCTGCCCAGCCTGGCACCATCCCTATGTCAGGCACACCTTTCCCCCACGTCCTCCACTAGCACCCCTCCTGGGGGCCCACTACACTGGATCACTGTGACCTTGAAGAAGACCCCAGCTGCCAGTGCCAGCTCAGCTCCAATGGTTGCCGTGGCACCTGGTACCGTTGCAGGCAGAAGCCAGCCAGAGTCCACTGGCAGGCAGCCGCTGCAGTTACTGCCCCTAAGGGCACCGGGCACATTCTGGGGGCCCTGGAGGCAGCTGCTGCCCTGCTGCCCAGCTGCCCAGCCTGGGGAGTGCAGCCACAGCAACGTGGGCTGCCAAGAGGTGCTTCCCTGCTCACCTTTGAGCTTCTGCTCTCCCCTCCCTCTGGCCTTCTGAGAAGGGGACAGATTGGTTCTAGAAATCACCATTGCCTGCTGTCCGGCAGAGCAGCGCCGATGGCTAGGAGCCAGCGAGGACGGAGGAAGAAGTCCTGAGCGCCCCAGGCAGGCTCTCACTGGCTCATCACCCGGGTAGGCCAAGTTCTTGGAATCTGCAGCCTAGTTCCTGCTAAGCCACACCCTCCCAGGGTCAACTTAGTCTCGCAAGATGCTCAAAGGCAGAGGACCTGTGCAACTGTAGCCCTGCCCAGGGCTAACCCAAACCAGGGGCCCAGGCCCTGGGAGCCAGGTGCATGGAGAGCACGGCAGCAAGTGTGCAGCCCAAGGGTACCCCAGAGAAGGGGCTGGAGCAGCCCTCCACCCCCACTGCAGGAGAACTAACCACTCCCTCCAAGTCAGAACCTCCCCATTGGCACTCAGACACAGAGTGGTCCAGACATGGCCATTTTAATGCAGAAAACCACCATAATTTACAAATGAATCACTTTTATGGGCCAGAGCCAGCACGGCCTGAGGGGCTATGAGGGCAGAGAGGAGGTGGAGGCTGTTGAGGGGCCACAAGCTCAGTCAGCACCTTCACGACCCAGCCTACCCAGGCTCTCGCATGCCGGTCGGCCCTGGAGGTCCCTGGTCCCTGCCCCTTGACTCCTGCTAGTCATTCCCAAGTGACCCCTTGGGTCTGTTTCAGGGCAGAAGGTGGACATAGAGAGACAGATCCTTGGAAGTGAGGGCCTGGAGGGCAGGGGAGCCAACAAGGCTGCTGTCCAGCCACTCCACTCTGGCTCTGTCCCCTCCAGCCAAAACACAGCATGAAGCAGAGCCAGGCTCTGGAGGCCCAGGACACCACCACTCCCTTGCCCTCCCTCCCAGCAGCCAGCAGAAGGACAGAACACAAGCTCAGAGCAAAAAGGGCATGGCGGCTGGGGGGGGGTGGGGGGGAGGCGCGAGTTCTCGGGTTGAGGTTTGGGGAAGGGGCTATTGGATTGATCTGGCTTGGAGAAAGGGAAGGGTCTCAGATGAGGCAGCTGCTGGGGGAGCCATCAAACCCAATTCCAGACCACCCCCCACAAGATAGGTACATCCGTCTGTCTGTTGGCACCATGCTGGTCTGGGCTCAGCACCTCCCACGTGGGGCATGTGAGGGGATGGGCTGGAGGCTCAGGGCACTGGAGGTAGAAAGGAGCCCTCCCCCCTTCCCCAAGCCAGGAAGGTCAAAAACACATCTGAGGCAGCCCAGGTTCCCGCCTGGCCCGGGACTGGCAATGCTGGGCTTCCCAGGGGTGGGTGTGGTCCAGGTTGCGACTGGCTACAGGTACTTCCCCCAAGTCTGGCAAGGTGAAGAGGACCCCCAGAGGGCTGGGCCCTGTCAGCCCATCCAAACAAGAGAATGTGGTCTCCAGCAGCATCCACTGGGGGCTGGTGGCAGGGGCAGAACCTTCTCCCTAGACACCCACCTGTCCCCTCTCCCACCTTGTCCAAGCGTTGGACCCAGAGCAGAGCCGAGCCCTGGAGAACAGGTCTGACCAGGCAGGTGGGGGGAGGGACGAGGAAGCTGGTCACTTTGGCATCTCCAAGGCTGACACTTGAGGCTTCACCTCCAAGTACTGGTTGAATCGGATCACTGCGTACCTGCCGGAACACAGGGCAGGGTGCTGGGAGTGAGACGGGAGGCCAGGGAGGCCGTGCTGGGGCACTCACGCCACGAGGAAAGTTTCTCACCAGCTCAGCCCACCTAGGTCTGGGCAGGTCAACCCCAGCCCAGGCTGATTTTTACTTTTTTTTATTTCAACTATAATTTTTTCTTCTTAGATCAAACTGGAGCCACCCTTCCCCAAATATGTTTGCTTGCTTTCTGATTTTTTACAGCCTAGTAGCATTAGTAACATTCATATTGTTGTGCTACAGATCTCCAGGGTTTTCTCATTTTGCAAAACTGAAACTCTGTCCCTGTTAATCAGCAACCCTCCATTCCCCTCCCCCTAACCCCTGGCACCCACCAGTCTACTTTCTGTTTCTACGATTGACTACTCTAGGTACTTCATATAGGTGGGATCAAACAGTGTTTGTCCTTTCATGACTGGCTTATTTCACTCGGCATAACGTCAAGATGCATTCATGTTGTAGCATGTGACAGGATTTCCTTCCTTTTTAAGGCTGAATAATATTCCATTGTATGACTAGACCACATTTCGTTTATCTATTCATCATCCCTAGCCAGTGGGGTTGCTTCTGCCTCGTGGCTATTGTAAGTAATGCTGCTATGAGCATGGGTGTGCAAATATCTCTTTGAGGCCCTGCTTTCAATCCTTTTAGATATATACCCAGCAGTAAGATTTGCTGGATCATATGGTCATTTTATTTGTAATTTTTTGAGGAAGCACAGTATTGCTTTCCATAGCAGCTGCACCATTTTACATTCCCACCAGCAGTGCACAGGCTTCCAGTTTCCCCACATCCTCGCCAGTGCTCATCATTCTGTTTATTTGATAGCAGCCATCCTCCTGGGTGTGAGGTGCTGTCTCATTGAGCTTTGGGCTGCATCTCCCTAATGGTCACGAACTGTGAAGCCAAGGTAGTGACTCCTTTCCAGCTGAGGGTGGGTCAGGAGGAAAAGGGCAAGGAGGACAAAGTGATTGCTGGCCCTCAGGGACACCTGTACCTGGCAGGACGGGCCCTGGAGCAATCAGAATTCAAGTACAGTCTCCCATCTCCATATAGCCCCGAATGTATCACTGAGGCCACTGAAGGAGGAGCTGGGTCTGACACCCACACAGGAAGCCTGAGCCAGCCCCGGGGCCTCAGCAGTCACTTCCACTCTCCAGAACTCTGTCTCCTCTGCTATAGAGTGAGGCTTGACTCACAATCTTTCAGACCAATTTTCAACACTTCCCTTCCCTTTGCTGCCTGGCTCCGTGGCTAGGAGCGTGGCTAGCAGAGCAGACCATGAGCAGGGGGCAGGATGGGGCAGGGACAGGGGAAGCCAGGGAGGGGAGTTCGAGAGCTTCTGACTGCTTTCTGAGTGCTGCTCCTGGTCACATGCTCCCCAGGCTCCCCGGAGCCGTGACCCCACTGGACACAGGCTGGCCGAAATGGGCATGAGTTAGAGCAGAGGCATGGCCTCTGGACGTTCTATTCAGGCTGTCCTTTGCCCCTACACCCTCAGCTGCAGGCTCTTCCTTTCCTCCGCCCCTGCCCCCAGCTCGTCCCCTGCACTCACCTGAGGAAATCAAAGTTGATGGTGGAGAACTGGGCCTGGATGAGGGCCCAGAGTGCCCAGAAGAAGTGGGACGCCTGGAAAGACCAGAGAGGGTCAGCGTGGCAATCCCCTCATGCCTGTCACGAACCCCACATGGCTAGAGGGACATAGTCACTCTGGAAGACACAGAACTAGGACACTGGCAGAGACACAGTGGGGTCTCCCCAGCAGAGGTGAGGGAAATTGCAGAGATCAAGTCACTGGACAGCACATGGGGGCTCCACTCCCTCTAGAAAAAGGCAAGCAGAGTCGGCTCCACCCGTCCCGGGAGAGGGTCAGCAGGATGGTGCTTCTAGGGCTTTCAGCTTGTTCCCCAGCCTAAGCAGGACCCGAACTCCACCCCTGGCCTCTCCCCTGCCTGGGCAATCTTCTCAAGTCTTCCAGGCCAAGGTATCCAGGACAAGATGAACCTCTAAGCCAGAGCTCAGGCCCAGGGGAGGGGCTGGGGCCCCTCAGCAGATCCCTGGCCACATGGTCATCGGGGGTCCTGACTGCTGGAAGACCCCTAAAACTGCCCTCCTCCACCCCTTTCCCTCTCTCCTCTCAGGAGGTGGGTTGTGTGGGAGAACGAGTGCAGGTGTGGGAAGCAGAGCCCCGAGTCTGGGCGCCGACTGAGCACTGACCTGCCCTCCCCGGAGCCAGAGGCCACCCCAAGCTCAAGAAGCCAGAGAGCCGTGCTTCCTGCTGCCCTGGACAAACTGCAGTGACATCACCACTCTCCCAGGCCGGGGCCCCCACCCTAGTCCTGCTCGCTCTGGGGTTGGCTATAAGCACCTCCTTCCACTTGCCTCCCTTCTCAGGACTTAAAGGGGGCCTAGATCAATTAGCAAGTATGAATGATTACTAAAAATTTAGCAAGAGAAAGGCATGGGTGGAACAGTTAAGAAGAAGAACCTGATGGAGAATCAGTTTTGTGCCAGGGAGGAAAATAGAAGAGGCAGTCCAAAACCACAGGTAAGGAAAGATTTCCTTGAGCTCTACACTGTGCTGTGAAATTCAAGGCCGCTGACATTAACAAGACCAGTTAGCATCCCCTGAGCACACAGCAGTGGAGACCTGGCACGAACCATGTACCTTGGATAAGTGGTACTCAAAATTGAGAACTGACAGCATGGTAATTGGAGCAGGAAGAGCCTGATGGGAAAGGCTTACATAGAGTTCTGAGTCAGCAGAGGTAGTTAACAAGGAGGATTAGAACTGACATTCTCTATAAGACCTGAAACCATGAAACATCTAGAAGAAAACAGGCAGTACGCTCTTCGACATCGGTCTTAGCAGCATATTCTCAAGTACCATGTCTGACTGGTCAAGGGAAACAATAGAAAAAATAAACAAATGGGACTACATCAAACTAAAAAGCTTCTGCACAGCAAAGGAAACCATCAACAAAACGAAAAGACAATCTAACAATTGGGAGAAGATATTTGCAAACCATACATCTGATAAGGGGTTAATCTCCAAAATATATAAAAAAACTCAGACATCTCAACAACAAAAAAACTAACAACCCAATTAAAAAAATGGGCAAAAGACCTAAACAAACACTTCTCCAAAGAATATATACAGATGGCCAACAAACACATGAAAAGATGTTCCACATCATTAACTGTCAGGGAAATGCAAATCCAAACTACAATGAGATATCACCTCACGCCCGTCAGAATAGCTATAATTAACAACACAGGAAACAACAAGTGTTGGAGAGGATGTGGAGAGAAGGGAACTCTCACTGCTGGTGGGAGTGCAAACTGGTGCAGCCACTATGGAAAACAGTATGGAGATTCCTCAAAAAATTAAGGATAGAACTACCATATGATCCAGCTATTCCACTGCTGGGTATTTATCCAAAGAACTTGAAAACACCAATACGTAAAGATACATGCACCCCTGTGTTCATTGCAGCGTTATTCACAATAGCCAAGACATGGAAGCAACCTAAATGCCCATCAAAGGAAGAATGGATAAAGATGTGGTATACATACACAATGGAATACTACTCAGCCATAAGAAACGATGAAATCCAGCCATTTGTGACAACATGGATGGACATTGAGGGTATTATGCTAAGCAAAATAAGTCAGAGGGAGAAGGTCAAATACCATATGATCTCACTCACAAGTAGAAGATAAAAACAACAACACACACACACATAGAGACAGAGATTGGATTGGCGGTTACCACAGGGGAAGGGGGAAGGCGGGGGAAAGGGGTGATTAGGCACATGTGTGTGGTGATGGGTTGTAATTAGTCTTTGGGTGGTGAACATGATGTAATCTATGCAGAAATAGAAGTATAATGATGTACACCTGAAATTTATATGTTATAAACCAATGTTACTGCAATAAATAAATAAATTTATTAAAAAAAAAAAAGAACTGACATACTCTATGTCCTCCAAAGGCTAAAAAAAAAAAAAAATGAAGGGATGCTTTTAACTGTAGCATGAAAGGCTAAGGTTAGATACCAGAAAGAACTACTTGTCCAAATGAGGGAATTGCTAACAAAGGAAGCAGGGATCTTTCTTGGAAGTAGTTCTCTAGGAAGAAGAGAACCTAGACCTGATGGGGTGGGGGAAACAGGGAATAGGGCATCTTAGTATTAAGAGGATGCCAGAGATGGCTCTTCCCAGACCAGACCTCTAGGCTGGGGTTCAGGAGCATATGATGGGGGTCCCCAGGACCTCACATCTGACCCTGGGCTATGCTTCCTCCTCCACCACAAGGCTGTGAGAGGGTAGGAGCTGGGGGTGGATCTGTGTCCCTCCCTCCCCTGCCCCCTCCCAGTCACAAGCACTCACCAGGGCAAACTTGTTGACTTGCACGTAGAGCCTCTCCACCTCCCTGGGGGTCACGGCTGTCCCCTTTTGTGCCTGCAGGTAGTAGCGCAGCCACTGCAGCTGGGTCTCCCGCGCTGGGTACTGGCAGTAATCGACTTCATTCACACCTGACGGGGAGGTGGGGCGCACAGAAGTTGCTAGGAGATGGGCCCACCTGGGGGTCTCTTCCAGCTCAGTAGGTGTTCCCTGCTCCCCTCAAAACCTCCATCGACTTTGCCCTGCAGGGCTGTGCCCCAGGAGGCAGGCCTGGGAATGCAGCCAAACTCCTTTGACCACCAAATTCATTGAATGTGTGGAGGGCCGAGCCCCACCCCAGCCAGGGACGCTGCTTTCAGTGGGCTGGAGGAAGCAGAGACAGGCAGACTGGTTGAGAGGCAAGGCACGGTCCTGGGAGTGACGGGGACCCCCTAAGACAGAACTACTGCATCCCTATGCCCTCTATGAAACTAGGGCACGGAGAAGGAGCTCAGTCAAAGCATGGCATCAGGAGCCTAGTCATCTTAGGTCTAATGCTAATCTCCAGTTAGCCGTGGGCAAGCCCTTTCCTCTCATCAGCCTAAATCTCCTCATTTTTAAGGGAGGGAGCTGGACTTAACGCGTGTGGCTCAAACATTGCTTCCTGGACCATTGTTGAGCTAGCTACTTAAAAACATCACCTGGAGAGCTTGGTGAAAACAGATTCCCAGTACCCCTCCCCTGTGTCCAATTCTCCAGAGGATTTGGAAATGCAGCCAGGCTGGAACCCCTGGACTAGACGGCCTTGATTCCTTCCAGCCCTGCCCTTCCTTGAGTCCTCAAGCTGCCAGCCCACTATGCACCAGTCACATCCTGGGCATGGCAGCAGAGACCCTGGCTTCACAGCTGGTACAGAAAGCAGTAATTTATTTAAGATGGGACCAGGACTGGGCCACGTTCCCCACAGTCTCTTCCTAACCTCTTCTTTCCTTCCTATCCTTCACAAGCCTCCCTTACATTCCTAGAGAAACACACTCACTCTCCTGGGGCCCCAAGAGTAGAGCTGGAGAAGAATTTCCTCACGCAGATGTAGACACTAAGGCCCAGAGAGAAGCAATGTGCTCAAGGTCACACAGCCAGTTAGAGGTGAGTTCAGGGTTGGAGTCCTTCCTCCCAGCCCCCGAGAACGCAGGAGGGCCCTCCCCTAGCTCTCAATCTCCTCTGTTGCCCTCCTCCTCCCCCATGCCAGGTTCCATCTCCTTCATTCTCAACTTGGGAGCAGGATGCAATCTGCCCCTTTGGAGAAATTCCAGCTGGACTTTGCTCTGGGCAGTGGGTGAAAAGGACTTAAAATGCTTAAGAATTACCCCTTCTGGAAAGGCCGGTGGGTCTGGCAGCTGACACCCAGGGTCCAGTGCCCTGGCAGTGCCAGCCTCTGCACCATGCCACAGCCCACAGCTCAGCTGCTCTGCCCAGGTGAGGCCCTGTCATCCCCTGGGGTCCTCAGCGCAGCTGGCGGCCACCCCGAGGAGTCATCCCCTCAGGTACAGTCCGTGCTTGACAGACCTGGTCACCTGGGCTTCCACAGGGGACCTGACTGGGCTGGGGAGTGGCTGAGGCTGGGCCAGGTGGTGGCTTTACAGTTGGTCTGGGCGTGCTGCACCCATGCTAGGCCACAGGGGCTGGCCACCTAATGCTGAGCACCCCCACTGCCAGCCCGGACATCCCTCCAGCCTGAGCGTCCAGCTCCATCCCGGAGTTGCCTCTTCAGTCCCATCAAATTGTTTTTTAACAATGAAGCCCTCAAGCTGGAAAAACCTGCCCTGTTTCCTTTACACAAATGATTCTATTGTACACAGGGTCCTTTAGAGAACATTGCCCGCCCCTAGGAAACACGCCCTCACCCAGCCTCTGCCATGCCTGCTCCAGGCTCCCTCAGCTGCCTACTGTCAGCAGCAAATACCAACAGGATGCTTAGTATGTGCCATACTTGGGTGTGTAACTCATATCAATACTATGAAGCAGGTACTATTAATATCTCCATTTTACAGAGGCACAGAGAAGGTAAGGAACCTGCCCAAGGTCACACAGCTAGCAGGCAACAAAGCCAAAACCTGAACTTGGGGTGTCAAGTTACAGAATACATACATTTAACTAGTTCCACCTAGATTATTCTCATCAGGCCACCAAACAGCTACTCACAGGTTGCTCTTCTCCTTATCTGCATGCAGGGCCCTTATTTCTAATTGTGCAGGCTGTACTGGGCATAAAGGAGCTTGGACAAGGGGGCGAGTGGAGGCTGGGGCTGTCCTGTGCTGGCCCAGCTGGCGTGGGCAGTGTCTGCCCAGAGGAAGGGGTCTTTTTCTAACTCACATGCCAAGCCAAGTATCCTCAGAGGGCACGTTTTCCTAATTTGTACCAAACTACCATATGGGCTAGCAGGGGTCTCCTCTGTGTATGTGGGTCCTGCCTCCCCCATGAGACTTGGAACTCTCTCAGGCAGGCTGTGCCTTTCCCCCTCGAGCTGTGATATTTTGGAGGACAGTGGTTGTCTCGCCTCCACCCCCCAAGTATCAAACCCCTCTTATCCTCCCCCTGGACCTGCCCCTCCAACATAAGGAGGGTATCTTGGACACTGGCAAAATAGCAATGCCCCTCTCACCTGCAAACTCATTGAAATGGTTGCCAATGTCAAAAGCTTGGTAGTTGTAGCCGGCATATTCATAGTCAATGAACCGTACATGACCTATGAGGTAGAAGAGAGGCAATGAGGGTCGGTCCCAGGAGATCTGGAAATAGGGGCTGTCAAGCTTGCACAGACTTCTGGAATGCACCCCTGACCCTCTGCAGCAACCTGGCCTAACCCAACCTGCTCAGCAGCAATCTTCTCAGTTGCTTCCTTCCATCTGTCCATTTGTCCACCTGCTCTGTCCCTGCCCTGTCCCTCTCCCACGGCTGGACCCTCAGGCTCTCTCCATCTAAAGACACCTGTCCTCAGCATGGCTGAGGACTAGAAATCAAGCTCAGGACCCCCTGGGGGGAGGCTCTCTCTCCACGAAGGCTTGGGGCAGCCAACACGTCCTAGGAAGCCCAAAATGTCGCCAGGGGCAATGGTTCAGGTGCCCTAATATTGAGGACTTCCACAAACCACAATCCAACTTCTTTCTTGGCATAGATTATTCTAAGTGGGAATTTGCTTCCTTTTCCATTTGTCTCCTACAAATTACCTAAAGACCTAAACCAGAAGGTTTTTGTCCAAGTACTTGTCCAAGTACCAGCCTGAGAGACAGAAGCCTGAAGCCAGCTGATGCACCAGCCTGAGGCCTGCTGCGGCCCGGCCAGGGTCAGGGAAGCCGTACCTTTGGTGCTGTCATAGATGATATTCTTGCAGAGCAGGTCATTGTGACAAAACACCACAGGGGAGTCCAACTGGGACAGGTGCTCCTTCAGCCAGGCCAGCTCCTGTTCCAACACCTCTACCTTAGGGACATCTGCAGAAAGGCTGGACAGTGCGAGAAAGTGCTGGTGGGGGAGGGCTGACGGTAGACAGGTAGGTGCTTGGCCTCAAGAGCCCTGAGCTCTGGCTCCATCACTGCCTCTTACTGCAGAGGGGCCCTGTACAGACGGCTGGCCTTCCAGACCCTCCCTTGTGTCACCTGTAAAATGGCACTAAGGCCTCCTGTCCTTCTGACTTCCTGTGGTTTCTCTAAGAAGCTGAGAAAACACGGGTGTAAAAGCATTTTGCAAAGCATAAAAGTCCCTGACCGAACAGCATCCCTGCTACTTTGTGAAAGGGACAGGAAGGCAAGGAAGGAGGCACAAGAGAGGACAGGGGAGGTGGGAATGAGCGTCCAAACTCAGTTATCCCAGACTAAGAGAACAAGGGCAGAGGGAAGAGATGCAGACAGACCTGCTCTTAGGACACAGGAAACATTCCTAGGGGCAGGTGTCGCTCTCTACAAGATTCTCCCAGCCAAGTTCCCCAGGCAGAGGAACTGCAGCACCTGGGGAGGGCGGGAGCACCGTGCTCTCTCAAGGAGGCAGAGGCACGTCCCGGTATGTCTCACTCATGCTCTAGCGCCTGGTGTCACAGGTGGAAAGGACCAGAGAGATCACGTAGTCTAACCTCTCAGCTCACAGAGAGACCACTCAGGCCCATACAAGAGAGCGAGCAAGTTCCTTCCGGGCTCGCTCCTCCATGCTGAGGGAATGTCAGGGCCTCTCAGTGGAAAAGCACTTGCTCTGTAGCTCCCAGGAACGGGCCCCTCCCACTCTGAACTACGAGTGTGTGCTTCCTGGTCCCAGAACCCTGCCAGGCTGTGCAGGGGCAGCTTGAGGGCAGGAACAAGCATGCACGGAGGCCACCCCTACTGCGGCCCCACCCTGTCCCATGGCACATGCAGACATTTCTGCGGAGTGCATGGGTCAGGCAATGACATCCTCAGGGGCATGGGGAAGCTGGCGATGGCATGCTGTGCCCAGATGCTCTGAACTTTGGTCCCCAGGAAGCACACAGGTCTATTTACACTGAAAAGCCAAATAGCTAGCAAGGCCCTTAAAACCCCAGAACCACCAATGGGTGGAGGGGAGGAGGCTGGGTTTTAATCTCCAGTCACATGTCCCCTGTTTGCTTTCTCGTCCAGGGCAGGGAGAGAACATGCAGGAGGATGAGACTGAGATTTGTCCTCTCTGACTCTCCCACAAGATGGCTCATTGTCCCCTCACCCAGCCCAGAGGCCAGAACACAGCAAAAAGTATTCAGCGAAGAGTATTCAGCAACTAAGGCATCCCCAGTTCCCCCAGGAAAAGGATGAGTGGCAGGTTCCCTCCCCCCTTTGATCTGAGAAGGTCAAAACTAAAAAGGATCTTAAGTCTCCAGTCCAACCCCATAAGGAAACTGAGGTTCAAGGAGGGGCAGAGGTGTCCTTCCAGCTTCTAGATGTCTCTGGCATAGCTGGACTCTCTACTACCTCATCTCAGGAAAGCAGTCCTGGGATTCAGAATCGAGCTGAGCCTCCTAACTGGAAGGGCTTGGTGCCCCTCGGAGGCTCTGCACAGGCAGCCCCAAGTCCAGGAGTCTGAGTGGGATGATCTGGGGGAGGCCACCCCTCATCCCCACTGGAGTTTATCTGTGTCAATGGGTCTGCATAAGATGCATTTCAATCTTGGCTCTCCTTAAGAAGCTACCTTTCCTTTTAAGATTCTCTTCTTTTTCCTTGGGCTGAGACCATCCAAAGATAAGAATCAGGAGGCTTCCTTTGGTTTGCTCAGGTCTCAGCCTGAAAAACATGTCTTTGACATCCCAGATAGCGGCTGCCCAGGCCCTGACCTCTGTCTGACTCCACCCTACCTACCCCAAGGCCATGCAGATGCTTACTGTGGGAACAACCCAGGCCTCTATCTCCCTGGGCAGCCTCCATCGGCTGCCCTGCTTCCCTCCCCTGAGCACTTGAAACATCACCAGCTTTGCTACCAGCCCTGACACCACTAGACTCTCTTAAGGCTGCAGAGTTGGCAGAACAGTAACTACCACCACATCACAGAAACGTTCACACCGCAGGCAGAACGGATCCTCCCACTCTGTCCCTCAGAGGCAGCAGGAGGGGGATGAAGGGGTAGGGGGCCCTCCTCGGGGAAGCCTGGGGGTTCCTCTTGATGAAGGGACTGCTGCCTGGCCAGCGTCCACTCAGCTCTCAGGATCCGGGTGGGGGAACGTACCTTCTCTCATGATGGACTTCCTACGTGTTCAAGCTTCCTGGCTCATCACCTTTGCCCTCACACCACTCAACCCATCCGAATCTCCTCTTAATGCCCCCGAAGCAGTCATCAACCCCACATTCTCCCAGCCACCCCAGACACCTCCACGCCCACCCAAGCACCAAGGCTACCAAATCTATGTATGTCCACAAGGTCTCTGCCTCATCCTCCTACTCTCCAACCCCCGATGAAGCTGCCCTAGGGCAAGGCTCCTCAAAATGTGGTTCCTTGATCCCCTGCCTCAGAATCACCTGGGGAGCCTGCCAAAATGCAGAATCCTAGGGTCTAATGCAAGACCTCCTGCCCAGTCTCCAGGTTGGGCGGGAATCTGCGCTTAGTGAGCACTCTAGGGAATTGCAGGCTCAGATGCTGAGAACCCGAGTCCCAGATCTTGCTCATTCCGTACAACACTCCCTCAGTCGGTCTCCCTACCTCAAATCCCTACCTCCTTCCCCAACTCCCACCCAAATCTTCCTTTACAATGTTGGAAAGCTTTCTTGCTAAACCACAGTCGTGGCCAAGTTACTGACCTGAGTCCCTGGCTCAAACACCTTCACAATGGCTTTCCACTGCCTGCTGAGTTAAATCTTGGCTCCTTGGCCTGGCATTTAAGACCCCTCACAATCCAGCTCCAATTCACCTCTGCAGTCCCATCTCCCATGACCCCTCCCACTCCCTCCTGAAAGTCTGCTCCAGCCAACCTCATCGACCCATCATCTAGGAGCAAACCGCACTCATCCCACCTCCTCCAGTTGGAGTGGCCTCCCTCTCATCTCTGTCCTGCCGCCTCTGCCAAGAAGACTCTCCCTGGCTTCCCCACCCTCAGCATACATTATACACCCTGCCTTCTTTTGCAGCTAGGCATGGGCAGGTCCTATTTACCCAGATAGTTACTAAGCTCCTTGAGGACAGGGCCAATGTCAAGTTCCTGTTTTTGTTTTAATCCCAATCACTGTGCAACGAAGGACTGACTGTGTCAGGATTGTTAGGCAGCAACTGGAGTGCAAGTGCTTCACCTTGTCCAAGTGACTGCTCCCCACTGCCCTGCTATGGGCACGAGGCAGTTTAGGGCTGACATCAGCCCCTAGTGAGGCTCAAAGAGGTTACGCAACTTGATTTGCCCAAGGTCAATGGTGTGACAAGAGCAAAGGGGTTGGCTGGCTCTTCTCCAGGAACCACTCCCCTCCCAACAAGGTCACCCCCAAGGTCACACAGTGACAGTACAGTCAAAGGGAGCTGAAGTAGCAAGGATCGTGCCTGAGCATCAGGCCTGGACTCTAGTCCTTGAGCTGCCGCTGATCGACTTGACTTTGGGCAAGTCCCCTCTCCTCTCTGGGCCTCAGTCCTTCCACCTGTCAAATGGAGGCAGTGGGCTGGATGATCAGAGGGTCCTCTTGGCTCAGACAGCACAGGATCCTGCTCTCCCACTGCAGTTCAACTCCTGTGGGGGAAGGCAGTCCTTGTCCTAGAGATGACATTTGACATAGAAGGTCTGAACATGGGCCATCCTGGACAAACAGTCCCAAAGCAGTGCTTGATGTTCATTAAGTGGAAGGATCCAGATAAAGTCACGCACGTGTGTGTGTGACAGAGACACATGAAGGGGACAGAGTTAATTACCGTCTTGTCATCTGAAAGGGTGGAAGGAGAAATCCTTCCCCCAATCCCCTTCTGTACCCCACTCCCGTGAACTTCTGGAACAAGGATGGTGTTCAACCCCAGCAGGGAGCATGAGGGATCAGAGACTCACTACTGCCTTTCTTGTGGAGGGCGGTAGGAGTGACAGCACTCTTCTCCACGCCACCATCCTTTCCTCAGCACTCAAGGGTATGTCGGGGAGTCGCGTATCTGAAGGCTAGAAGGACTCTCAGGTTGCCAGCCAGAGAGCTTAACTGTGTAGGAACCCCATCTTCCCCGGGGAAAGGCAATGTCAGGATGGGTGGAGTACTCCCTTCCTGGAAAGAACGGCGAGGAAGCAGCTGGCTGTCAGTCTGAACAAGGTGGGGAGCAGCATCCCTAGGGGCATGTGGCGACGAGAGGTGTCCAGGCAAGTAGCAGGAATCTTGATGTTCCGAGGCCTTGTCGGCTGACGAGCTCAGTTCTTCTGCCTGACTCTGAACTCGGCCTCACCCCATTCTGAGGGCCGGCCCTCCCTTCTCATTGCTCAGAAGGCAGCGCAGATAGAAAGGGCTCTGGGCCTGCCTCTGACTCAGCCCTGACATTGGGCAAAGCTTAGTCTCTGAGCCTCAATACCCTTCAAGTAAAATGGGAGACACTGCCCCCAACCCTAGTCCCTGCCACAACCAGAAGACTCAAGGAGAGATAAGCGCAAAGGTATAAAACTGTGGATCTAAGTTCCTGAGATGTAGTCAATCGGCCCAACTCTGCTTGGAGACAGAGACTCAGCAATCAGGACTGAAGCCCCTAAACCTCCTGTTGGCATGGGAGGGAGCCAAAAGAATGGGGGCATCACATTAAGGCAGTGGAGATGGTAGCAGCCTGGAACCCTCCCAGATCTTTGTACCTGGGGCTGATCTCGCTCTTCACAAGGGTGAAATAATTGTGCATCCTGTGCCAGAGAGTGGGCCTGGGCAGGCTGCCGTTGGCGTGGATGGTGTGAATCTTTGCCATTTCTAAGGCGATTAGCCTACAGCAGAAAACAGGAAGGGCAGAGTATCAGTGTGGGGCAGGCCCTCCTCAGCTCAGCCCCTCCTGACCAGAAAGGGGCCCTACAGGGTCCACTGGGGGGCTAGCCAGATGGTGAGTGTGGGGCTATTACAAATCTTTCAGAAACTCGCAGTCCTACAGGAGGATGGTCTCAGCAGACGGTGTGAAAATGAGAGAAAGCCTTTAGCCCGGCAGCAGCTCCCTCTCCCTCTCCAGAGCTGGGCAGCTTCAGGCAGCGGAAGGGCAAAGCAGTGGGCTGCTGGCCACAGGTCAATGACCCTGTCCCACCCCAAGGCTGTACCCACAGCAACCCCTGACGACAGAGGGGTCACCTGGGGATGGAGGCAGTGCCCCCATGCCCTCCTTCGACTCTGACCCATGCCCTCAGGGGGAGGTGAGGGCAGGGCACCAAGGGGTCAGGGGGTGGTGCTGCCAGGCAGGGAAGAAATGCCCGCCTCTTATCAGCCTGGCCAAGGTAGGGAGGGAAGCAAGCTGGCCCAGGGCAGCCCCTTCCTCTGCGGCAGGGAGTTGATGCTGGCGGCTGGGTGCCAAGGACGCAAAACAAACCAGCGTTCTATTTTCAAGTTCTCCTGTGGACATTATCCAAGGTCCCGGGAGAGAAGGAGGGGCGGAGGGGAGAGGAGAAAGCAGCACTGGGGAAGGGTACTGGGCGAGGGCTGGGGTAGATGGAGGACTGACCAGTCAGAGAGGGAGGGCCTTGATAAGGACCTCAGCATCTGAGGCCCTATGTGCCAGCTGGGCTCCCCCAGGCCTCTGCCAGCCCTCCCTTCTGGAGTCCCAGCCCCCACCCAGCTGACAAGCCTCCAACATTCAAGCTTCCTTCGCCTCTGCCTGTTGCTGGAATAATAATCACTGGGAAAGACAACAAAGGCACTGGCTGTTTGAAACCTTGTTACCGAGCTGTTCCAGGGACACCCCTCCCCTTGCCAGGTCCTGGGAAGGGACAGGCCATCACCCAACAGGATAACAGGGCAGACTAGGGGCTCCTCCGGAAGCCCTCGAGGCTCCCACCTCCTAAAGGGTGGAAGGAGCAGGGGGTGTGGCAGCAACTGACTGCGTGAGAGATGAAGGCTGTGCTTTCAGAGCCTAGAGGCCCTGGGGCAGGAGGGAGCCCGCCAGGGTCTGGGCAAGGCAGAGAAACAGACCTGAGACCCAGGCTTTCCCTTCCCAAAGGAAGATTCCGAATAGAGCACGAACAGAGCATTTCCTTGAATATCAATAGGGCTGTTGTCTGGAATAGCAATGAAAGTAACCTCAACACTCAGCACTTTTATGCTGCAAAGCCTCAGCTGGCAGAGGTTGGGAAATGGGGTTCAGGGGAACATGGGGAGGTAGCTCCCCAAGGCCTTCTCCTCCCTGCCTTTCCCTCAGAGATCCACCTTCACCCCAGAAAGATAATGGTCCATCCTGGGAAATCACCAAGGAACGGCCTACCTCCTACACCTATCCCAATTTCTGGCTCTCGCCAAATGTAAAGTTCTTCTTATCGAAGCTAAATCCCCCTTCAATCTTCCTGACAATGGTAATTGTTTCCATGAGAGAATGAGTGGCAGCATCAGATTCACAGAGGTGGAGGGAAACCAGGAGTGGTGAGGACCTGCTGATATTTGAGCTTGTTTGCATCAGACTGAGGGAGAGCTGGGAGGAGTCCAGTGGAAGAAGCCAGGACAGGGTCCCGCACTGCCCTGCTCTGACCTCACATCTCCGGTGGACGCACTGGAGCCGCTCAGCCGGAGCCTGAGAAGACCCTTGCACAGGTTTGTATGTCCCCCACCCACAGACACGCACATACAGCTGAACACACAACTCTACGTGAATGAATATCCTGGAGCCTGACCAACCTCAGAGGCAGTGCTCAGGAGCACTGGGGGGCGGGGGGTGGTGGACTCAGATTCCCTTCTTCTAGGTCCTGAGAGGGCCTGCCAGGGGGTCTCTGCAAATGGGCCCACATGCACTAACTTGGGGTTCACTGGGTAGCAGGTGAGGGAGCAAAGGAGTTTCCTGGTCGACTCCCTGGGTGGGCTTGACTGCTTCCCCTTGGAATTTGGAAGGCTACTTCCCTTGGGTGAGACAGGACAGATGCCCAGGATCCCAGGCAGACCCCTGCACTGCTGGCCCCAGTGTCAGGCATAAACCTCACCTACCTAGGGCCTCACTAGAGGCTGAGAGCCCTGCACATGGGCGTGGCATTGGAGGGAGGAAGGTGGTACTGCTGGACACCCCTGCCCAGCATGGTCAGAGAAAGGGAATGTACTCCGGGCTCCTCTTTGGTTCTCCCCATTCCAGACCACACAGAGGCATCCACAGGGCTTGAAGGTTAAGTCCAATTCCCGGGTCCTACACATCCAGGCATTTAATGGGAGGGGCTCCCTGGGGGCCATTGGTTCTTGTGAGCTTCTGGAAGGAAGCCTTGGCAACTCCCCAAACCTGAGCTCCCACCTGTCAGGGAACCTGGAAGGAGCTCAGACTGGGGGAGGGACGGCGTCTCTCTGGGCTGGTAAAAGCATGCTCACCGTGGATGGGGCCACTCTCCTAGCATACCTGAGCTCTTGGCAGGAGGAGAGGGGCAGGAAACCCCAAGCGCTCTGGGGATTTGACTCAGATTTCATTTCCAAGGCTCCGAGATGTTTCCAGGTCAGACTTGGGGTGGGCAGAAGGCTGAGGCATGGGCCGGGAAGCAGATCCCTGCTGCATTTAGGGAACCAGGTCCTTTGGTCTAATGTTGACCAAACTTCTCACTTGCCTCCTCAAGAACTCATCCTTCTAGCAGACCCCACTGAAAATCTATACAAAGCTATAACCCCTCTCTGCAGAGCAATGCACATAAACGCACACACATTTTCCATGCAATTTCAGGGAGTTCACAGATCTTAAGACCCTCATTCAGGGACACCACTCTACACCAAGAAGCTGGTCAAGGATTTCAAAGCCCAAGGCCTGAGGAACAGTAGAGACGCACGGTACCTGGGCACCCGCTCACCTGAAAAGCCGGGGCTCACGGATGTGCTCAGGCCCCAGGGCCATGCCCCGCATGTACTCATAGCACAGCCCATTCTGGAAGGTGCAGTAGAGTTTAGGGGCACAGCCATGTGCTCGCAGCAGCTGGAAGTTCCTGACCTCATTCTCCCGGTCCACCAGCAGCTCCGTTCGCTCCCCGTACACCCGGACCAGCACACAGTCCCGCATGTCCTCCTCCACGTAGCAGGCCACCAGCTTGTTGGTAATGCCATCAGTGAAGCGCTAGCATGGGGACAGGGCAGCGCAGGTGTGTGGGCAGGGCCTCCGCTGCTGCCTTGGACTCCCCAGCTCCAGGACAGGGTGCTCACCTGAATGCTGAGCACACCATGCAGGACCCCAGGCCTTCAGCCACCTCCCTTAACAAAGAGCTCAGCACTGTTCCCACTGCTCTGCTCTGTCCCCATGCCTGCAGCAGCCCACGGAGTTCAAAAAGAAAACAGTAGGCTAGGCTCAGCCCCGGCACTCACTCCCCCTGGGTGTGCCTCTAGTGGGTGGGAGCTGGCAGTGGAGAAACTTCCATATCACTGGGCAGGTAGAAGCCCTCTCTCCCTCCTTACTCTTCCACCCTGGCCCTGAAAGAAACCTCCACGGACCAGAATGTGACAGAGGAGGGCCGAAAGTTGCCCAGGACGAGTGTGCGTCCAACCCACTGCCTCTCACCGCCTGCCAGGCAGGGGGCTCTTTGCTGTCCCTCTTGCCCTATCCAGTGGCAGAGGTGCAGGACCCCACAGCTTTGTGGTCAGAGCTCCTTAGGGCCTCTGCATTCCCACCAGAAGAGACAGTGGATCCTGGGCTGGGGGAGCGGACTCTGGGTAGGGTGACAAGGAGGGATGAACCATGGAATTTATGGGGAACAGTGTGACAGAGCTGGAAGGGGCCTTAGAGAACATCTGAACCAATTCTAGGTGGGGAAACTGAGGCCCAGAGAGAGGAGGGACTGGCAGATAGCATGTTAAGTCAGTGCTAGAATTAACCTCAGCCTTGCTTGATGCTGGGACAGTTTTACCCCAGAGGGGGCTTTTTATTTTGGAAATGCTACCCACCTATGGCTCCCCCAAGAGGGGCCTGTCAGCCTCCCCACTTGGTCCTGACCCTGCCTTTCCCCACCCCAAGGCCCACCAGCGCGGAGCTCCTACCGCTCCAGCACAAGCTGCAGGGGCCCCGCTCAGGGCACCTTCCTCTCCAGGCAGCTCCCAGAGAGTCTGGGGGAGGGGGGGCAGGTGAAGACTCTTTTCAGAGGATGCAGGTCAGCTGGGGAGTCAGTGGGAGGCTCCTCAGCGGGAGGCTCTGGCTGCATCCCTGTCCCTGAGAATGTGCCCAGCTGGGCGTGGGGAGGCGCCCTTTGTGGGGGCTGCTGAGCTAGAGCCTGGCGCCATGGCGAGGCTTGCACCAAGGGCAGGGGCTCGGGGCTAACCGCAATTCCACAGGGGAGCTCCTGGGACCCGCAGGGCCACTCAGAGTCTGGAGGCTCTGCTTCCACACGGGGTGGAGAGGGAGCAGCAACGTGTGTGTGAGTTTGGGGGGTTCCTTTAAAAGTTCCCGCCGCCTCAGGTTTCAGAGCCGGCTGGGTACGCGCTTCTGGGCAGCCAGGGGCACCAACACGCAGTGACAGGGGGTGGGCCCTGCACGCGCAGCATGCTGACAGTGGGCAGGAGACCCCAAGAGGAGGGGGATGTGTGCAGGGCCGACGGGGGCGGGAGCCTAGCTTTGCTTAGGGACCAAAATAGATGGAGAAAGATACATACACAAACTGCCAATCCAACCCTTTCCTGCGCAGCAGCCGCGCACGCCTGCACCGACACCCGGGCGGATGCACGGACAGACGTCCCCGCACCCCGTTCCGGCCCCGGCAGGGCCCCAGCCCGGACCCCGCGCCCGCTCGGCTACCTTGGTCCGAACTTGCTCGGGCTTCCAGCGCGGCCGCAGCTCCTGGATGAGGCGCAGGGCGCCGGGGAGGATGTCGTCCTGGTCCACCGATATGCCGAAGCACGGGACGGCGGCGGCCCTCGGGGGGCCCGGCGGCGCACGGCAGCCGGCGCTGGCCGCCGCCTTCTCCTCCATGCCCCATGAGCAGCGCGCGCTCGGCGCCCGCCTCCCCAGGTGCACGGGCGAGCGCGGCGGAGGAGCTGAAGGGGGCACAGCCATCCCCGGCACCCGCGCCCTCGGAGCCGCGCGCCAACGCCAGCCCCTGCGGGGGGCCGGCGCGAGTGGGAGTACTGGAGGAGGGGCCGCGGGCAGTCCGTGACTCAGGGGCCCGCGGCCCGGCGCCCGAGGCCGACCCGGGAACGCCGGGCCCGCCGCGCCTGTGACATCACGGGCGGAGGGCCGTGGGGCGGGGGCCGTGGGAACGCCCCCTCCCCCGCCCGCGGGCCGCGGGGGACCGCTGACCCACAGCTACCTGGAGTGCCAGGCGGGGCGTCACCCCCGGGAGGCCGTGACGCCAGGGGCCGGGCGGAGGGCGGGGCGGGGCCTGGGCGGGTCGGCCGGGGGCGGGGCAGGGGCCGGGACCGCCCCGACCTGGGTGCCAGGCCCGGCTGACCCGGCTAGCTTCCCTGTTTCAGAGGTGGCGAGGTGGCCTCCTCCCTCCCACCTCGGCTGGGGCCGCTCTCCCTGGGCAGCCTGGGCCAGTGCCGGGGGAGGGCTCCTCCTGAGCCTCCACTCCATCCCGGAGTACGGATATCTGGCTGCTTCCAAGAGGTCCGTGTGGGCTCACCCTCCTGTTCCCCACCTCCCTGCCCCAAGTCCCTGGATTCCTGGAGAAAGCTCTGGGGAGCGGCCCCTGCTGCATCTCAAAGGCCCTTCACTGCAGGGAGCCCTCAAGGCAAATTCCCCACCCCCCAAAACACACACACTCGATGAAGAGAGGACGTGGGGTGCTGCATGTTGGGCGTCGGTGTGCCAACGGGGACCTCACTAGTCACGAAGCTGGGTGGGAGAGCTCTCACTGCCCCACCCAGAAAAGTGCCTACAGAGAAGGGGCCCTTTTCTGTTTCCCCGGGTGGTCCCTTTGGCCTGTTCAGGAACCTCTCAACCACAAGGCCCCTATCATTATTGCTGTCCAGAATCCAGCTCTGCCCAGTGGAACTTCTGCAATGATGGAAATGTTGTATATCTGTGCTGTCCAGTGCAGGGGCCACTAGCCACATGTGACTATCCGGCACTTGAAATATGGCTGGTGTGACATTTTATTAAATTTTATTTAATTTTAATTTAAATGTAAACAGCCATTACGTGACTACCATATTGGACAGTGTAGGAGATGGGGGGGAGCTGCCCACTTAAGGTCGTGGAGCCCCAGGATGTCGGAGCTGGAAAGGACACCGACTCCAGCCCTTCCTTTCTGCAGTGAGAAAATAAAGCCAGGCAGGCAAGCGAGCCACAGGGGGAGACGGCAGATGTCCAGAGTCTTGAACACAGGCTCACACTCGAGGCTCTGCGCAGGGATGCTGCAGACAGCTCCTGCCTGCAGGCATGCTGTCCTAGAGGAGTGATGGGGTTCCACACAATCCCAAGAGCCTGCAATTCTAGAACTATGAGGTTTGCCAGGGCCTGGTTAGGCCATGCACTGCCTCACCCATTTTGGTCAAAAGAGGAGTGAGCAGCTACCATGAGGAGGGACAGTGTCAATGGCTTCAGGTGGGTGCTGCCTCTCATTCCCCAAGCTGTGCATCTCCTGCAGACGGCCCAAGGGGTAAGAGTGGGAGAAGACTTCAGCCTGTTGTTCCCAAGTCCATGAGATGGAGGGGAGCAGTATGCGTCTGTGTGCTTATGCACACGGCCCCATACCAGGGTGTGGGAAGCTCTGTTCCTGAGAAGATACACCTGCACGTGGTCCCCCAGGACCTGAGTCAGACAGGCTGGTTCTAGTCTTGATTTTTCACACTTCACTGAGTGATCTTGGCCAAATGCCTTCCATCTTCTGAGCCTCGATTTCACCACATGTCGGATCTCTTGTGATTTCTAGGTGATAGTGCCCTAGACTGCAGGTGTAAATGGCTACATGGGGGCGGGGGGGGTGGACGGGGAGGGCTGCAGTGCACAGAGACAGGGCTGGCTAGCTCAGCAGTGCAGAGCCTAAGCTTGGGGCTGGCTTCCACAAGCTGGGAGCATCTTTCTGACCCACAGTGACTGTCACAGCATTAGCCCTGGTCCTCGAGAGGCTAGAAGGGGCACAGGGCTGGCTCTCTGCAAACTTCCCACCCAAGGTTGTGTAAACAACCCCACCTAAAGGGATGGATGGCATCATCCCTGCACACAGGAACCTGTGCATGCAGGTGAATGTGTAGTTTGTCATTCTGTGTCACGTTCCTATCCACACATGATCACACGGCCGTGCCTCTCTGTTTCAAACCCAAGTGAACCCAGGTGCAACAGGGTTATGAACATGAAGTCTTTATTCTGTTTGTCCTCAAAGCTGGGAAGAGCTGGTGCTGGGAGCAGGGCAAGCGTCCAGGAGGAGCTCCACGCCCCAGGCTCCTGCGCAAGGGCACAAGCTAGGCAGCGGGGGCCCCAGAGAGTGCTCTGGCTCTGGGCTAGGGCTGAGGACAAAGCCCGCCTGGGCAGCAGAGGGCCTCAGCGGGCCAAGGCAAAGCCAATGCGATTGTTGTGCCGATCAAACTCTGTGTAGAATTTGCGAATGAAGCTGGCGCCCAGGACCCAGACAGGCCCAGTGGGCGGTGGGACATCCAGACCGTGGAGCGCCAGTGTGCACAGATCATCATTACTGTAGGGATCCTGGCAGGAAACAAGAGGGTTTCTCCACTGCCCAGCACATAACCATTCTCCCTCCACCTTGCCTGACCCCAGCAGCTGTCCTCAGCAACATCTCCCACCCCTCCCCCATCCACACTGGGCCTCCATCGCATCCTGGCCCTTACAACCCCTCATGGATCGCACGCCTCCTGGATGCAGGCACTGAGCTGGACACCGGGCAGACAATGCGTCAGGCACAGTGCTACCTTCAAGAGCTTACAGTCTGGCAGAGCTTCTGACCCTAGGCCAGTCACTTCACTGCGCTAAGTCAACTGAATATGAAAGGAGATGAGATACAGGACTACAGCATTCCTGGGGGCGTTTGATGAGAACCTGGAGACAAGAGGATGAGCACAGCGATTCCTGAACTTGGCTGCACGTTGCAATCGCCCAGGGGAATTTTGAAAACTCTGATGCCCAGGTGCCACGCCCAGAGCTTCTGAGTTAATAGATATGGGAAGTGGCTTGTTACTGGGATTTTTAAAAGCTCCTAGCTGACTCTAACATGCAGCCAAGTTTGAGAACCACTGATCTAGCATCTAATCTGTGCATAATAACTTGTCCCTTTTTGGGGGCCCCTGCCCACCCTTCCTCCCTATCGCTGAGGGCAGACTCAGGCCTCACCTGTAACACGTAGTCCTCACTGGTAAGTGTGTAGGCTCTGCCTCCGAGGTGGAAGGAGATGTCGGGGAGTGTGGGCACCTGGTTACAGTTCACGACATACTGGGCCGAGGGTAGAGGGAGCCCCTTTGAGTGTGGGAAGTCCCCCCGCAGACACAGCCCTGTGCTTTTGGCCTGGGCCCTCTGCTGGAGAGGGCTGGGTGCATGCTCCCCTCCCCTGGGGAAAGAGTGTGAGAGGTGAGGAGGGGAAGGCCCCAAATGGCCTCATTTGGGACCTAATGCTGCCTGGGGTAATTTCAGGGCCTCGATCAGGTGGTGCTCCCCCCACCCTTGGCACCCACCCCTCCAGCTTCTTACTTCATCCGAGCTCAGCTCCTTGGCCCCCAGTGTCTCCATAAGCAGCCTCAGGGAGCTGGTGGGACCCGAGACATAGGATGCGCCGGTATCCACCACTACCATGCAGCCCTCCTCACAGAGCAAGGTGGCCGACCTCACAGACACCCTGGGGGAGACCACAGTCAGACAGGCAGAAGGCTGATGGGGCACCACCAGGCTACATAGCTTTCCTGAGGGCAGGCAGGTGATGGGAGGCCATGCTGGGGTCCAGTGATGCATTGGGGGATGGGTAAGGCGTGAGCTGGAGGAGAAAAGGTGCTGTCCCTCTCCCTCAGCACGTGACTTAGTGACCCTCCACTTCCTCTCAGGAGGCCCCCTCCCCTGTTCCTCATATCTCTGTTCCCCATCCCTGGACAGAGCAGGCAGAGAGCAAATGTTGGCTGTACCTTAAGAAGTGGTTGCATCAGGAGAGACCCTGCCCCTCCATCCCCCCCCCACCCCCACGGCAGCAGCATTTTTGGAGAGCTGGGAGAGTGGAAGATTCCTGACCCTTTCATTTTGATCTGCCAGGAGTCAGTCTTGCTGATGCTCACGTAGTGGAAATTCCCTTGGTAATACTGGGGGTCACTGCCTCCCAGCACAATCTCTCCCCCCAACAAGTGGGAATTCCTAAAAGGAAGATCAGAGGCTCTTGGAGACCCATAACCTCCGAGACCCAGCGACCCCAGCCACAGGATGGGGGTGGTTGGGCAGGGTGCAGGGTGGGGCAGAGGAAGGCGGGAGGGCAAGGCTGGGAAGCTGTGGAGCACACCGCTTCTCCACCTTTCTGGCCCCTCCCCAAGCCCAGCCAGAGGTGGCTCGGGGATAGTCCAACCGCATCCAATAAAGCATCCCCAGAGAGGTCACAGAAAAGGAACAGGCACAGGGACAGAGAGTAGAATGCAAACAAGACGCAAATTGCCCCCACCTTCCCTTGGCTCTGGGCCGCTGTGGGTTGAGCAAGTGCACGGGAGGGGACTCTGGGGAGCTGCTGGGCAGGGGTGGGCAGGGGCATGAGGTGGGCAGGAGTGGGGCGTGGAGAACTTTGGCTCCTAGGCAGAGCCTGGGCCTGCTGAGGTAAGTTTTGGGCGAGTGGCATGTGTGATTCTGGGCCAGGTGCTCTGGAGGGTCAGGGCCATGTGGGGGATTTCGTCTCCTTACTTGGAATTTCTGCAGAGAAAGAGACACAGCAGAAAGGAAGCTTTTGTTTCTGGTGAGCCTCACCAGCCTGTGGTTTGGAGTCACCAAGAGGTGAAGTCACTTGCCTAAAGTCACCCAGGCGGGGAGCGGGGTGATGGAGGACTGGAGCCAGGGCTCCTGGTGCCCAGTCTGAAGCGGATCCCCCTTGCTTTCTCCTCCAGGCTGCACAATGCCTCCCACAGCTCAGGGCCTACTTTAGGGCTGGTTTCCAGAGTGTGCGCGCACACGTGTGTGTGTGTGTGTGTGTGTGTGTGTGTGTGTGTGTGTGTGATGGGGTTTTCCAGAGCTCATAATAGGAGGCATGAGTATATGCACATGTGTGCATGGGTGTGTAGGTATGCACATGTTATTCGTGCAAGTGCAGTTAATTGCATTTTTACAAATCCAGTATGTATGTGCACATGCCAGCACAAGCTCCTTCCGCCCCTCCTGACACTTCAAGATCTCTAGGGATGTTCCCTCCTTCCCCTCCCAGGGT